TGCGTATGTTTCGTCAAGTTGCTGGATGTTTTCTAAATGCTGGGCAAGTTGGTGAAGATGTTTCTTCATGTGTTTTGGCATATTTGTGTTTTTTTATTTGCAATTGTAGAGCGTTCCTCCTATGGTAAATGTTTTGGGTCGTTGAAGCGCATTTGCACGGGTCGACCACCATAAATATGATTATGTATCCAATTCAATGTGGACTTTTTATTTTGTATAAGACATGGTTAACCTCAGAGAAATGTAAAAAGTATTTTTGTTTTTTAAATATGCCGTTTGTTTGGTTTTGTTTAGTATAAAACCCTTCCATGTCTGAAAGCAATAAAAACATAATTTATTTTATAGTTTTCCTGCTAGCACAAATACTTCAGCAGCAGAGAAAAACAAAACAAAAATGTAAATGCTCATTTTATAGCACCAGTTTAAGTTTTGAGTCTGGAGGGAAAAGATATACATTTATATATTGCAACCATGCTGCCATACACCAACATATAATCAACATACTGTACTGTCTGTTCTGCCTCATACCACATCTGTTTTTACTTTTAACAAGACTTTATACGGCACATGAGATCTTCCTGGGTTTGGCAGAACATCCATAAAACAGAAGACTGACCTTAAGAAAGTCCACAGTCTGCTCTCAGAGGGCCCACAATGCATTTCAGTGACACAACAGCAGCTTCTAGGGAACGCTGTCTCCCGTCATCAGTCCTGCCCTTGGCTTTGAAAACCCTGTGGGGCATCAAGAGCTCATAATTAATTGATCACATTTGTGTGTGATTCTATTTATAGTCGACCGCTTCCGTATAGTAACACTTCTTCCTCTCCTTCTACATGAAACACTCAACACTCGTGAACAAGCACTTCATTATTAGGTCAGCTTTGTTAATGTCACAGCAGGTTACTGAGAAAATGAGTGTATAGTTTGTTGTGTTTTCTCTCATTTCCACAACACATATCACGCTGCGGGAGCCTCACTACACGAGGCATGCATATTTCAAACGCTCGATCTGAGTCGATGGCATTGCCACGTGGTTGCTAGGGGCTCGATGAGGGGTGGGGGCGCTTTCTCTCCTGCTGGGGTGTCTTTCATATTGAATGATGTTGTTGGTAGTGAGGCAGCCATGTGACTTTGTTTTCCTTCAAGAGAGCCTGCTGCCTGCTCTGCACAAACCTTTAATGGATGAAAGGACATTTAAATATTGTTGCTTTGACACCCATGTCTATAGAGCAATAACATACTTTAAATGAATTTTGTTTGTTTATAGCACTCCATAGCTTAAGATAAATGCACTCGTATATTTGTAATGCTTTATAACAATGGTCATAAAACAATATACTGCATTCTATTATGAATAACAGAGTCAAATACCATAAGACTTCATCATCCAGTGACATTTTTTGCAAGGATATATTATGTATATTCTCATAGTTGCATTATAATACAATCTGTTCGTAATGCATTTCAATCAAATATTGCATGCAGAACAATTACACATAGCATTATAAGTACTTTTATAATAAAGAAGAATGTCAGTGTTAGCAGCAATTATAATCCTTTACCTTTTGTCAAAATATATGCGTTATAATGTATCTGTAATTAATATTGTCTTAAAGGATTAGGAATGTTTACAAGTGTTCAGAACTTTAATTATAGTGCTTAGTCGATTAAAGCATTTCAAGTCTGTTTATAAGACATTAAAGACATGAATGTCATAGAAGGTGTTACCAAAATGTGCTACTAAAATTAGGACAACTGTATGCTCAATGGAAAAAGTAATAAAATCATGATCTAAGTAAAATAAATACTAAATACCAATACAACAATGTAAACTACACAAGTCAAAGTACCGAAGAGTTATCGGAAACATTTAAAAAAGTATAAAAGTAAAAAAACATGTTCTGCAGAAGATATATAAAAGTACTTAACCAACATTGTAAAGATTCTTGCCTGCAACAGTTACTGTTTATAATAACATGTAAAGGGCCTTGACATACATTTAAATACAAACACAACAATGATAAACATTAATGTTATTGTAAAAATGATTAATCTTAAGTTGTTACTTCTCTAACAAGTACTATAAGGAAAATATAATGCTGACAAATGTCAGTGTGTGTAAAACTATATAATATATTACAAGATTATAATTGCTCGTGTCTTAATGCGTATGCAGAATGTTTGAGTTGGTCCAGGTGGAGCAAACAGAGGGTATGAGTGTGATTTGGAAGGCAGTGCAGTAAATAAAATATTGAATATAGAAATCATGTGGGAGCGTAATGGTGTAATGATATTTTAAATATCAAAGGGAAAAAAAGCTATTAAATATAATACAGAATTTTTATATCGTTCTGGCACATATTTAAATCTCAATGGATGGCAGATATACTGTAAATGTATTTGCAGCCAATTCTCCACATACTATTGGCTCCAACAATTATCTTGCATAGTATCCTGCATAAAATGTATGTGTGGGTAGTTACAAACAGGGATAACTAGCAATAAACATCATAACCCATAATAAAACACATTTTTAATGTTTCTTTTTTATTAGTCAGGTGGTGAACACGTTCTGCTTGTGCTAAACCTTAATGTTTAAAGTTATATTACGCTCAAATCCTGGCTCATGTGTTTTGATATTTAGGAGTATTGCATTAACTCCCCGTAGACTGCTATTCTGGATATGCCTTAAAAAGCAAATGGACAAAAAGACGTGAGGAAAGACAAATAATCTCTCCCTTAAAGCGCGCTTCAGATTAAATTCAATGGCAGACGTTTGCTGCCCTCTGTTGGAGAGAAAACGTAATAATACATATTTTTACAGTATTCTGTGAACTAACTCCAAATCCTTTTATATGTATCAAGTTTAATATCAATAATGATCAACTAACTATAGAATAACAATAAAGCACACACAATATGTTGGACCACATGCCTCAAATCATCACATGGCATGGGATGTAATTCAGTAAATTGGACCAGGAATTCCCGTTCACAAATGCATATTCAAATTAGCCTAAGGCTTCGGTCCGTCAATGCTCAAAGGACTAACTAACACTATTATGAAAATGCAAGATTGTGCATTGCATCGTGAGGGGAAGGGTAATCAGGCTTAAAATCTATTCAATTACAAAATTTCATTAAATAAAGTTACATTAGATATGATCAGAAAGAGATAATGACACAAACATGGCTGCCTCTGTGTGTTCTCTGAATAGCCGTTATATAAATGAATATAATGAGATAAGCAATGTTACTTTACATTTAATTCAAGGCGGAAATTAAACATTAATTCAATTTCAGACTTAAATCACTACAGATGTTTTGGAACTGGGTTAAGAGTTAACACATATTTAACTTCCATTAAAAGACGTGTACCAGACTATGATTGACAACTCCAAACAGATCAATGTTACTAAAAAAATAGTTAGAAATTACCACACAATTTGGGACTAGACATCTCTGTATATTGCATATTTCGTACTGTAAGCAATTGATCGTTCCTTGCCAATTTTATAATTTATGCACAGTTACCCCAACAAATGCACATGTATTCAATATCCACATTGTCCACATATATTATGTTTATTTTCATATTTGTGTTGTAATGTTTTTCTATTCTTTACTTGTGTTTCTTGATTTTTGCAGTACTTGCTTTTATTTGAAGTTATTTTTACTCTTTTTATGTTCATGTTAGCACAAATTCACCAAAGCTAATTCCTTGTATGGAAATCTACTAGACACAAAAAAAACATTATCATTTCTGTATTAACAAGGCTCTCATAACTTAATGTCCAACATGATCCTAAAAAAAAACACTAACTGCAGTGTGGAACACAACATGACAAACAATAATTAACTTAAGTTTGTAATTCAGGATGTGATGTTTCAAAACTGCGATGACAGCAAAAGATAATATTACATTTTGACCATTTTTATATTTTCACGTGTCCTGACTTCCAATATTTTCTATCATTAGCCTGCATATTGATGGACTCTATCCACCTTCCTACTCTTAATTCAAGGGTTTTTCACTTGAAATATTTAAAGAAATCAAAAAGGGTAACCTTCAACAGTCCTATGACTCATGAACGCAGAGTTACATATGTAATAGTGTTGTGCACTCCGACACTCATTTTCACTATAAAACTAAAATAAAACACACCTCTGCACAGACGTCGGGGTTCCAGATCTATGCGTTTCACAGCGAAACAACACGATACCCTGTTATATTCACTCATTACTTTCACTTAATCAATGTTTAACAAGCCCCCGGTGTTGTGTAACAGACAGAGGCTCAGCTTGCAATGTCCAAATAAAGACCAAGGATTACATTTTAGATGTGAAGTTGCTACCAGCTAGAATTGGCAGGGAGCACAAAGCAGCAACGTTTAAGCTATGTAGGTTTTCTAACATTTGTCATATTTGTTTTCCGCATATTTGTCTACTGAAGTATTGAAAGACTGTCTCATTGTGCACACTTGAAAAAATAATGCCTTTTTTTGGACCTAACTTTTAGAAACAAGCGCTTCAACTCAATTTCCCCATGTTCTAAATAAAGCCTGGGAGTTAAGATAAACAGCGCCCCATCGGATCTTTAAATCTATGTTTCAATTTCATGCTGAGCCTTCAAGATTTTTACTAATAAAGTAAAAAGAAAAAGGCAGGAGGCTCCTACAGGTTTCAAAGTCCTCAACAGGCTTTCACCAACTATTAACCAACAAAGCAGAGAAGTGGATGTATCTAACCTAGACAGGCACTCAGCCAAGGCCGGTGCAACAGTTTTCCGCACCTGTGATTGGGATCAGCTCTTCCTTGGCCCATGCTACGCTCTTCCAACAAGAAAACAGGCCGGTTGTACTGTATCTCCCATAATCCTGCTGACAAACAATCGGAACATAAAACCAAATATTCTTGGCAGATATATTAATAAATCTAGCGTTTCTCGTCCATTTCCTTTAAATACAACCTCAGGCACTAAAAAATACTAAAGCAGCAATATAGAATTTTAAGGTGATATTTAAAAAATACTGTATTTTGGGTCAAGCACTCTTTCAGAGCATCACATTGACATTTCCTTCAAAAACACTGATACAAACCAAAGACACTGTTTCACATTTAACATTCAATTTAACCTTCTTTAAAAATAAACAGTTGTCCTAAAAAAGAAAAACATGAAAAATGCATTATCACTGAAATATGAAAGCATGTCGTTAAAGCAAAGCCCTTTATGGTGAACATTTCTAGACATCATGATGCTGACAGCTGCAGCAGATCAGTATTTACAACTCCAATTCTTTGGTCCCATTTGTCGTTGGTTGGATCAAAGCCTCAATTCTAAAGTATGCCAATTCATTACATCAATTTGCTTCAAGAAAAAACTGAATAGAACTGTTTCTACTGTAGTTCAGCTCTAATACATCATGGATCGCAATAATTGAAACTGGTATTGTCACCTCTACTATTACTTCTGCTGCCACTGTCAGTTACATAAACATGCTGCTTACTGCTCTTACTACTACTGGGAGAATGATGTGAGGCCAACACTGTTCGTACGGTGGCCAACAGGTGCAAATGCGTTAGAGTGGCCAAAAACACTTCCATTAGGCGAAACACACTTTCAAAAACAAACACAAATGTGCCTTAACACATGCAAACGAAGGAACATCGTCACCAACTTGACGAAACATGCGCAGCGTTTATTTCTAACTTTATAATCTCCAAATGTCAACAAGTGCTCCGGTCCCCGCTGTGTGCATCACTTTTTAGTGTCCCAGTTTCTGTCGGTTTTCAGCTTCTAGCATTTTGTATTTGCAGTGTGAAGTAGTGAAGTAGGGGAATGTTTTATAAATGCTTTTGCGTTATTGAAAATGCAGAGCGTTTCTCCCCTAACGGAGATGTTTTGGGCCGTGTAGCGCGTTTGCACTTGTCGTCCACCTTATATTAGGGCTAAAATCTGTAAACATAATTCAAAAATGAATTTTCAATTAAAAAAAGAACATATTTAGCTATTTTGGAATATTCTATAAAAATCAGTTTTTCATTTGTAGGAGAGTTAACAATGAAATATAACATTTTCTTTATGTCTATACAGTTTTGGCTATCATTACTGAATCAAATCGTAGTTTTCCCAACAATTTAATATTATCCCTTCACGTTAAAATCGAATTGACTAATTAAAGATAAGAACTGCCATGATGACATGCTTCATGGATGCTACACATGCATTACACTAGCAAATGGTACAACTTTTAAATAAAAATGTTTCCTACCTTTTAGACATTCTCTCAACAACAACTTTGTAACATAACTCAGAATCCCTTTAGCACATACTTCAGTATAACTGAAATCTCTTTGATCCCAAAAAAAAGAGATTACATTGAGTGATTTCTAACATTCTGCCCCTTATCTACTGGAGCTACTATTTTAAGGAATTTGATTGTTCAGGCGTACCTCATAAAATGGTAACCCAGTGTGTATTTTGAGTCTGGATTACAAACTAAGATGCAGCCACACAGGCCCATGCTAATGTCATGGGTCCTGAGACTTTTAATTACAAGCATGAGTCCCCACATGTAACTATGTACTATAATAATCCTTTAACCTAAATTCCAGGATTTTGTTGAATCAAAAGAATGCTCTTGCGCATACTTTCTGCACTCAGGCCAGATGTCTCTGCAGGGGGAGGCTTACTGTGACACAAACCAGGACAAGAGGAGACCAAATACGGAAATGTTCAGATAAAAATAAGTGTTGTAATAACTGCCCATTCTTGGCCCAGAACAGCAAGGGGTTAGATATAAAACCTTGTGGTTTCCCGTGCCTCGCCTCCTTAGTGTTTAATTAAAGTATTGTTACTCTAAGGCCAGAAACCTCAAGAAAGAGGAAGCTTCTTGTTGGAGTGCAGCTGAATAAATACAGCAGTGTATCATTACCTACAAAATAACTTTTTGATTACAGCCTAAGTGCGCCAGTGGGTGTGAAATGGCACTTAAAATAGTTGCGACTACATTGTCGTCTGCCTCTGACATCGTTTCAGCAAAAAAAGGATCATAATACTCCCTTTTCTACAAAGAGTCTCAGAAAAACCTGTACCTCAAAAGAAAATTGTCTGCCAACAATCACAACAGCACACTTTCCCTTCTCTGAAAAGTATATTGAGTCTCTTTCCAGGTGTTTGGTCCACTAGGCTTCACTTAGAGTGCTGCTCAGCAGAGTCTGCAGCCAGAGAGCCACGGATCTTTGTTGATCTGCGGCCAAATCCGAGGCCTGATACTCTGTGTGCTCTCAGCAGTCCACAGGGACTTTAGGGGAAGGAGGAGTCCTCTTCAGCCTTGTCAGTACTTATTAATCCCAAAGATCCTCACGCCGTGCAGCTGGGGCAGCTTGGGGATGAGGACAGTGAGCAAGGAAACAGTGTTGACCACAAAATGGACCCGATCGTACTTGGTGTAGAAGCTGGTTAGTATGTACCTAAATCAGAGACAAAAAGGAGAGGAATAAGTAATGATTACGAGGGTTAAACAGATAAACAGTGTTTATGTCTGGGTTGTCTGTTGTCATTTTGATAACAAGCCTGAAGAACACAACAAGATCTTAGTTAAAGGGCCCATGTCATGCTTTTCCGGTTATTACCCGTCCCCTTGTGTGTTATGAAGGTTTTTATGCATGTAAACGGTCTGCAGAGTCAAAAACCCTCAAAGTACACCCTGTAGGGAGTAAAACTCTAACACAGTCTATGCTGCACCAAAACGCCTCGTTGGAGATTTCTCATTTGCCATTGTTTACTTCCTGGGTACTGTGACGTGTGAATACCCAGAGGCCACACCCTCTGCCAGCATTTCACGAAACAAAGCTTCACAAACCTCTCAGCGATTCATGCCGGATATGTACAGCGTAGGGCACTGAAGAACGATGCTGTTCCTACTTTGTTTGGACCAGCGGGAGATTCGGGTACACAACCTGTAAGTATTCATTGTTGTTTGTGTATTTATGATGTTTAAAACAAACAAGGTATCTACCATGACTGTTTAAATGGGTAAACGTTTTTCGGGCTGCTAAGCCATTGACACAGTGCTAACTGGGCAAACTAAGTTGCTAGCGTTTCCATATATCAACTCCAATGTCAGCAGATGGCCTTACATGTATCTCATAGCAGGAGAATGTCTGCATTCACACACACGAAATACTCATAGACAGTATACTCCGGGTGATTTACCGTACGGTCAGTCGCGAAACTTAATTACATTATAGTTGGCGTTCCTAGCGTGTATGCTACCGAGCTAAAAAAGAAGGCTACCAAGAGCTAGACATGAGTTTGCTAGGGAAAACATTGTTTTTATGCCAGCTACAATGAATGACCGAACGTAGCAGACTACCCGTATAAGATTGCAATTGTAAACATGTTCTTGCTAGCCTAATATGAACCATTAGCTGTTGTTCATAGTAGGTTGGCATATTACACTGAACAACTAGCATATTAAAAGGGGACCTATCATGCAAAATGCACTTTGTGATGTATTTTATACATAAATATGTGTCCCCGGTGCGTCGGGGAACTCACGCAGCGTCAGAAAATAAAACCCTCTCTCTTTTCCTCCGTACCCAAATCTTTTAAAAACAGGGGTACAACGAGCGGATACAGATTTGCTGCCGATCTGACGTCAAATCGGCAGCGGACCCACAGAAAATTGCTATCAGAAACAATGCCTGACGTGTTTTGGACGTAATCTCGTCTTTGTTTACATTAGCAAGTCTCGCTAACACTCAGAGCTAACCTGTACTGTAGAGCAGGGGTTTTCAAAGTGTGGGAAGGTGAGCCTCCCCTCAGAGAACATAAGAACAGCCGCGCCCCCCCCTCCCAATTATTATTGCTATTATTATTATTGTTGTTGTTGCTATAATGCAGGGGTATTATTATCCAGTGGAATGTCCTTACCTACTGGCCTAGTTAAATCAAAGTGGTTACTTTTTTTTGGCTGGGCAGTGTAGTTTTACACACCGTCTTATTTGACTTTCTCAGGACTTAAAACAGTTTTTTGGGGGCAGACCCCCACAAAGAAAAATATATTTACACATGTAAGGTCATCATCTTAACAGTTTGTTATGCTCATCGAGTTATCCGTGAGCAGAGCATCAAGTTGGCATGCCTATTGCAGCTGAATGCGGCGATTACCATCTTGTTCAGCAAAACGCCTCACAAACTTATTAAGATCTAAAGCTTTAGTGCGTTTGGATTCAATGCTGAGTACAGCCAAACTTGACAGTCTCTTCTCTGTCATTGTAGACCGCAAATACCTCATTCCTTCCGTGCACTTGGGTCCGAATGCGCCGTCCCGTTCAAATTAAATCGCCGCCAATCACATTTCCTCGCTCGTGCCAGGGCCGGGGGAGGGGTTACAAGGCGGCTCGCGTCTTGTGCTGCATTCACTTGCACTCGGACATTAGGGATTTTCTCTCATAAATGTCCGATGAGCCACAACTTTTATTTCAAAACAAAGCTGACGTTTTCTGCCAGACGCTGTCTCCTCTTTCACTTTAGGTAACTTCACTAAATATCGATCCATGTTGCCGCTCGCATAAAGTTAGCTGAAGTTAACTAGCTAGATTTCACTGTTTCTCGTTATTTTTTTCTCACGCTGCGCCTCCCCTGAAGCTCTAAGGCGCCCCCCAGGGGAGGCGCGCCTCACACTTTGAAAACCGCTGCTGTAGAGCACATGTGTTTAAAAAGCAGGAAATAAAAAAAGGAACTGACCTTGTGATAAACCCACAAGAGAAAAAGCATTTGAGCTCCATACTGTTTCAGAAATAATCTTTGATGTGGTTTAGAACAGGATGGCGTTTTATCACAGCAGAATTTAACTTTATCTCCGGTAGAATTCTGATCAGGCATTAGCTCCGCCTCCTCTTTTTTTTTTTTTTTTTTTAAAGCTAAGGACCCAAAATCTGCGTTTCTCCAACAGGGCTTTAAAAGAGGGGTTTGAGCAGTATGAGGCATGGCTACAATGGGTGAACTGTTTGGTATTTTAAGCAAAAAACTTCACAGTACATGTTTTGTATAGGTATGGCCCTACAATATATTTTTCCAATATAGCATAACAGGTCCACTTTAATCTAGCTGGCAAGCTAACGCACCTAAAACAACTAAGTTTCTCTAATATTTTGTAATTTGCATTTGATTTCGTCCAGCCAGATCAGGAAACTCCTGGCGTATCCGGCGGACAACACATGACGGGATGACCACTCTGATGCCTCGTCCTAAAAAGCCCCAGCACCAGCTTACAAAGCTGCGATAGGCAAGATGCCGAAAACGCCTATAAGGGGAGGAATGGATGATATACAGTGTATATATTTACACATTTTGTACATTTCTAAAAATAAAGTTTGATGGAAATACTTAGTAGCCTTTCTTCCCTGAATGATTTGCTCCTATGACATATCATTGTTGATGTTCCGCTCAGAGCCAAAAAAAGCACTGTGTTAGACATGGGCGGAGCCTCTCTGGTGGTTGACTAATCAGAACAGAGTGGCCGAGCTGACCAATCGGAGCACACTGGGCTCACAGGGAGGGGGGGGCAAGAGCTGCAACGAGCCATTTAGGACAGAGAGTGAACACCGGTGAATACACATACTTTACAGAGATGCTGTATGCGAAACCAATGTGAGTTTCGAAAATTGCACAGTATAAATCTATTTTAGTATACCTCAACAATGGAATTATGATCAGTGGAAATGGCCATGACATGGGCCCTTTAAAGGAAAACTAAAATCAAAAGATTTAAATGAAAGCTGTCAAAACATCACTACAATCAGAAGGATTTGATGGTTGCTGTTGGTAATCACAACGTTTGGAGAAAGAGAAGAGAGTCATAAGTTATCATTAAGAAAGATTATTTTAGTATAAGTCTCAGTCTATACATTATTGTTGTTTTAAAGAAAATCCTACTTTGTGTGTCTTTATGTATGCAATAACACTTTCACTTATTTGTCCTCTGACAATCGCAGACAAATGTTTATCACCTCGGAGCTCTCACAGTGCAAACACATTAATCTTTAGCACAGCTTCAACACGCCGAACAACAGGATTGCAGCATGAATTCATTGAAATTGAATATGCAAATGTGATGATGTAATGCTAATCTACAAATCTATAAAGCTCATCTTTAATGAAGAACATCCAAATCAACAGACATGGAACGAGACAAACATTCAGATATGCTTCTATAGTGAGTTCCCAGCACTTCCTGCATGAACCCTGACCTTATTTTAGCTACACGCTGGCAGAGGAAGCACAGATGTTCCTGGTGAGACACAAGTCAATAAGAAACTACTCTGATCTGTTGTAAACAACATTTTTAGAATTAACTGTACACACTAGTTAAAGATTTTCTATCGGCTAAGATTGAGGAACCCTGTTCTCTGCTCATCAAGTGAGGACGTGTAATAAAGGCTCAAGAGACTTTCCAAGACGTTTTTCTTTTCCATCTGGAGCCTCGATCCTGACCACATGTCTCCTGCTGCTGGCACTGGTTGCAACACAAGAGGCTTTGAAAGTAACAAGAAAAGTGTACACCTGCAAAAACTGCCATCACTACAATGTTTGAGCTGAGCCGGCAATTCAACCCCAGGGAACCAGAGTGCTTCCTGTAAACTGAACTCTGTCAGTTAATAAGGAAAGCAAAGAGCATGAAATCAGCAAATAGGACTGCTGCAAATACTAAGACCCTTAACAATTTGTGAGCTTGGCCAGCAGGGATATCAAGTAACATTAAAAAAAAGAGGTGCAAGGGGAGGACAACTGGAAAGGAAAGGTACAGTTTCACTCATTGTCAAAATGAAGTGAAACAGAAGACCCGTCTCGTACTGACTATTATATATGCAAAGCACCTGCAGTGTGGGGGTCCGGTGCCTTGCTCTTGCCTTTACCAGTAGTTAAACTGGCACCTCTAAAAGTACAAGTCCACACTCTGTACTTGGTCCATTTGGGGAATTGAACCAGCAACCCTCAGTTTCCCTACAGATATAGCGACTGCTTCCCAAAATAGTACAACTTTGCACAGAGTTATAGGTAAATATGCATCATTTGGTAGCACACTGATTAAAGCATCGGTTGGCCCAGGGGGGAAATTACCCACTTCCATAGAGATCCACACAAACTACTGGTGCCTGTGGATGGGAGGCCAGTGAGTGATCACGTTATTCTGGCTGGGCTATCCACACTCTCTTCTTCTGTTGACACCTAACCAATACCAAGCTTTGGTTCTCCAAAAGGTGCAATCCTCCTCTACTCTCTTTTTGAGTTCAGATCCATCCCTTATGATCAGCTGCGCCCTACACAACTAAAGGCCTAGCATTGGGTTCAGTGGAGCCACTTACAGGACAATAGGTGTGATGGTGAGGAACTTGCGTGACGCAGTGAACTGCACCCCATAGTCCATCTGCTCCCAGTATGTGAGGAGGCGAGCCTTGCCCTGATCTGGGGTCTCAAACGGCGTCCCTTTGACCGTGTGGAGAAGCAGGTACATGCACTGCAACAGACAAGGCACACATAGTCAGAGACAAAAAGGGGATTTTACATATCAATAACAGATCAATGTTGGGTGATACATTCTTATAATAGTCTGGATTAATTGACCTCAAAGCCATCAGGAAGTCTGGGAGCAACAAGTGGGTTCTACCCAAAAATACATGTTTTCCTCCTTACTTGTAGTAGCTTGATGGAACTAGATGGCACTTGTGGTGCTCAAAGATCACATTGAAGATAATATTGTACTCTTCAAGGCTAGAGGAGTCTTAGGTTATCAAAATATATGATGCAAGACTGAGTAATACCTCAGCTCTTTTAATTAAATGCTGGTTATAACATTTCTGGCACCCATTTATTAACCAAGAACATGACTAAGTGCAGTGACACAGCAAATAAAAAGTATCTTTCTTCTTAGATTCCTTAGTTCAGAGATTTGTAACCCTCTTACTCAACACTCCCCAAGTCTTTCACCAGGCTTCACTGTCTGTGTCCTCCTCTGACCCGACTCATTCGACAGATGTTCAGGGAAACTTTAACCACTCACCAGATTGTGAATGAGGTTGGTGAGGGTCCAGACCACGGGCACGCTGGCGAAGGGAATGCTGAGTATGATGACGTGCAGGAGGCCGATGCCCAGGATGTAAGTCAGCCACATTCCTCTGCTGTTCATCACTCGGGTGTTGGGGTTCACCTCGCTGTGCGCCGTGCCCACGTTCATGATGGTGTCTGTCTCCTCAGAGCGCTCTACCTACCGTATAATCGTACAAACGGTCTTGGTTTGACCCGAGCTGGCGTGACTGTCTACTGTAAGATAAACAGAGAGAGGTTTCCTGATTATTCAAGTCATTATCTTCAGGGCTATTAAGATTTATGGCAATTATCATAAGTGTGATTGTACAGTATACTGTTAACATTCATGGCCTACTGGCTCCAAGTTCTTCAGGTAAAATATACACTTTCATATAAGGCTCAGCAAGAAATACATACAAATATTTACCATTTAATTTATTTAAAACTCTGAAGGCTATAGAGAACTTCCCCTCTTCAGAGATAAATAATCTATCTATCTATTTTCATAACAATAGCTATTCCTCCTGGGGTATACATACATGTATTACACATATAACAGTGAAAATGTCAGTGTACTTTACTTTACATCGATTGAATAGTTTACTATATTTTGAATACCGTTAAGCATGAAAATAAGTTATTATAGTTACAATATTAATTTCAACATGGTATATGTTCTTTTATTTAATCCCCAAAGCCCCTGAATACAGCAATAAAGCACAATATGAAGATTTTAGTGGGCACATATCAGCCAATCAACATACATAATTGTGTGTGCATAGAAATAGATAGAAATAAAGCACAAATAAGGCTAAAATGAGATAAGAGTGAGCTAAAAATGGAAGAAAAACTGCTGATGGAGTCAGTATGCCTGTTCCACAGCAACTGATTGACAAAAGTAAACAATGTAGCAAGCGTTGGTCAATCCAGCATGCTGCCTTGTGAGTTGCCTAAAATCTAACTGGCTACACAGTTATCCATAACGTGGCTAAACAGATCCACAAGTGGACTAGCAAACAATACTGGGATTCAAATATTCTTATCATTTCAATTATAGGTGAGTAAATCATTGCACTCACAGCAGAGAAAAATGGCTTCAACTCCGACCTGTATTGGCACTAGTCCGTTATCACAGTTTTTGTTTTATCGATGCCTTCAGTTATGTAACTGGTTCTATCACCGGGGGACCAGCGAGGCTCCAGGGCTTTCATCAGTCATCCGGTGACCATCTTTCGGCTTCAAACGTGCTGCTTAGCGCTGAGGGTGTGCTCGTGGAGGCTCACTATCAATGGAGACACACTTCCACTTTTTCTCTTCGTCTTCCAGACAACAGCTGGTGACAACACAGCACAGTTCATGATGTAACGTCACCGCTATTCGCTTTCACGGCCCCATATTTAGGGTGAGTTTTTTTACTCTTCGCATTCTGAAGTGATTGGTTTTTGTAGATCACGTGGCCAGAGCTGGCCAATCTGGATTTAATGCGTTTTTAAATGAAACGTGTTACACTCCCCCTTTGGACGTCACATCGTAGGCGGGATCAGAGGAAACGGGCATGAATGACACTTGGGAATTGATAGAGAAAAAAATAGAAGCTGTACAGTAGTCGTTTGAAACATTTACCAAATTGTGGGTATGTTTTGTGAAAAATCCTTTAAAAAAACTTTTATAGGCATGAATTTTCCAAACATTCTTTGTACATGTGATGTTAGCTTATTTATTTCCTTGTTAGTTAAAAATGTCCGTTTTAACAGCCTGTGGCCTATGACCTCTCTTATGATCTTATTTGTGTGCAAAAATAATAATAATAAAAAAACATGTATTTGTCCTAACTTATATATATTTTGATATATAAAAAATGTGTACATATTGCAACATGTGCAGTTAGAAATAATATGTAATATAAAGAGAAAGTTGTTCTCTGCACTATATATATAAACGACAGCTGTACCCATTTTTCAAAAATGGCGCTGTTTATTGCCATTTAGATATATTGGTGTATGGTGTGAATGTATTGTGTAATGTGTATTTTAATGTATATCTACAGAATATTTGTAATGTAGGCCTATTGTGGTTTTATGATCATGAACTGTACCTTATGTTGCCTATAATCAAATGAATTGTCCCTAATGAATAACATAAATGAATTTATTGCAATAGAGTGCAAAATTGTATTATTCTATTTTATTTGTATTTACTTGCACATCTTGCAACATTCTCTTGCACTATTTTATTTCTATTCTGTTATTTCTTGCACTATTCCTATTGGTTGTATCTGTTTTATGTCCCATATATATTCATGTTGCATTGTTGGAGGTTACGTTTGTCATTGCCATATCTACACTATAGCTACTGTGCATATGACAATAAAGCCTTGAATTGAATCTTGAAAATGATCAAACCTTCAATCACCCCAGCTAGTAACAGACAGGGAATGAACAATGGGCATGGTCTTTTTTTACTCTGACCTCCACCAAAAACACCGAGCGATACACAACCACTCATACAATTCTTGTCGCACATGTATGGTCACACACTAAATTATTGGCTAAATAAATAAACTTGTCAAGGGCTTTAAATATAGTTTGTGGATCTTTTGTTAGAATGTTTTGGTTTGGATGTGCGTACCCAAAATCATGTTTAATATCATCGCTAGAGAAAAATAGATGTCATCCTGAGGGAGACAAGAATGTCTTTACTAAATGTCACGGCAATCCATTGAATACATGGTGAAACGTCTTGGTCTGGGCCAAACCACTGACTGAACAACCATACAACTCTTTATTCCAATCAAGGTTAGGGTTATTCAGATCTAAATCAAATTAACTTTTTAAGTACATTTCTGTTTAATTCTAACAGCATCTGGCTCAGACATCGGTTAGCCCTTCATAGCAAAGTACAAAAGGAGGCCCTTGACTACTAATGTACCCTAGGTGAGAGAAGACCTGCTGGAGGCAATGAAGTATGACTGACGGGCAGATTCTCTGGTCCCAAAATCAAAGACCAACAGTGTCATGTTATAGATCTTAAGATAAGTCGTGATACTAATTTAGGCTCACAGTAGCCCGAGGCCAAAGGGGTCAGCTGTGCTCTACCTGCATGCGATGTTACCTTACACCCCCACTGTTTTTAAGGGTACCTCTGTGATGAACGGCATGAAACAGGTTTGGACTTTCTCTGATGCTCATAGCCTTGGGTGCTCTAGCTGTGATAGCTATGTAAACCTAGAGCTCTGTACTAATGCGAACCATGGATGACAGTGCTGTGAGATCATTGCTGGCACAGGAACAAAGGCCAAACCCATGACATTGATAAAACAGACCTCAGGTAGGGGGGAAATGATGACGTCTTCAGATGACACATAAACAAGACGTCACCTGAGTATGTTCATCATTGAGAGACAATTAAAGGGATTTAAAAAAAAATATACAGAATAATTATTTTCAGTCTGAAAAGTAATGATAATGATGCTTATTTTACGAGAAATAAACGGATACCTAAGTGCACTCTGTTCTCCTTTTATACTGCTTTCAGTACACTGCTAATATACACAAGAAACCTTTCTAGTTAAACCTAAAAGAAAAACATCTTTAAACTAATTGAAAATTAGGACAAAAGGTAAAATAAAAAAAAGTGTGATAGCTACATTTTAAAGTGCAGTTACACTACACACACTAAACATATTTGTTGACCCTCCTGTTATATTCGTTTTTCTGTAAAAAAAACAACAACATTCCTGGGTCAATGTGTATTACTGCAGCAGCCTTTAACGAACACCTGCACTGCACACGAGTAACAGCCTTCACTCTGATCTGTATTCTGTGTCCTTCCCAGACACACATGGCATATTTTCTACTCGCAGTATGGGTTTATAATACTTATTCATTATTTGTGTTTGTATATATGTTTGATATTCTGATTGTAAATACTCTCTAAATTAATGTTATCCATAATGCAAAGTTATTAGGATGATTAACACATTATAAAAGGAAAAGTTAATGATGCTCTGTAATGATACATTTGAGTTTAATGTGTTACTTGTTTTTTTATCAGCTGCAGCGACTGATATTAAACTGTCAACTAAACTGTTAAGTGTAGTACAGAAAAAAAAACAGTAGTAATAACGCACTGACGCCAAAGGGGGGCGACATTACACTACAAATAAGTGCCTTCACTTCCTAAAAATTACCCATGCCATTTATCGTGTTATATTAACATATTCCGTACTTTTTTACAGTTCGTACAAAGCACAAACAATACAACGATTTCAAGGACTCAAAATACCAGCAGAGAAAATATATTTTGAAGATTATCTCTTTGAACAGACTTCACTAGATACTTTGAAGTGTTTAAAGGTGTATTCTAAGGAAAAAAACTATTTTCACCATGTAGATCTAATCTATGTTCACATGTAAGTGAAGAAAGACTAAATGCGGACCAGTCAACATACGGCAGATAAGAATGTGTTATTTTTTTTCACTTACTCTCCAAATCGGCTAGTGTGTTTCTCAAACTGTATCATTGGAGGAAACTGTATTACAGGAGGCCCACGTGCTGTCATGGACACTAAAGGATCAAGGTTAGTGATATTCATTCAAACGAACATTGTTTTTGCAATAAGTGGCTCATTTATTCATGGTCGAGGTCGCATTATTTTTCAGATTTGTTAAACTTTGCTTGTGCACATAGTCTTTAGTTTCTTTTATATCAGGAGACCATGAGTCGAAATCTAGTTCAAGGAGTTTTTTTACGTGATGCTCCTACGCGTAAAAAATATGATAATAGATATTTCTATTATAGTTATATTAAATTAAATGTAACAACAATATAGGTTGACCTGGCCTCACGAGAGCTCTGAGCGAGACTTGAGGGTTCCATGGTTGCTATGCAGGCTCTCCAGGTTAATGCTCTTAGTTTGAACAAACACAAACTTCCTGACGGTCAGAAACTCAACATTTCTGCTCTCACTCGACAATTTCTCTGAAAACAAACCCATAAACCTGATACTTTTTGCTTCCGGACCTCTCCCTAAACCCTACTGTCAAGACGTACAGGACGTTTTTCGGGTTAGATGTGACATGATTTATTCACTTTTTTCACCCATGTTGTTTTCAATGCATTTTACCACTGACGCTCTCCAAACCCCGTACAAAATCACCGATATATCTGAAGATATTGACAAATTCTTCTATTTTTATTGTTAATTAATCAAATTAGAGTGTAATAATCCTGCTGTGACAAAATACTGACCAACCGTTTCACCTGTTGAAAAAGTTAGCATGCTAACGTAGGCTATGTTTATTTTACCTTTTATTTTTAGTGCTACAAACCTAACTGAAACAAGCTTACAAGTTACAACATTATTTTATCCTTTTTATTGAATATGACTGATATTCACGATTTTCCTCGTTTCTTGATCATTACAAAGTAGATTAAGTGAAATAACTGCAACAGAAATAGATTTATATTTACATGCTATTGTCAATTAGTAGGAGAGCATAAATTAACATATTGCTGAAGAAATTGTGGCGTAATTTTGCCTCTGTGAAAGTCATATAAGCCTGCTTAATGTAAACCTCACTGTAAAAAAGCATTGAGAGATAGCAGTAGCCTACAAACTAGGATTATAAATAACATTGTGTGCATCTACGTAAATATGTTTTCATAAATTCAGATTTATTGAGACACAAGTTGGTGCATTCTTGAGTCCTTTTTCCAGCCTGAAGCATGAATATTTTTCAGTTTGCTTTCTTTATGCCTTGTTCCAGCAACACATGTTAACATTTGTAAGGCAATGCAAAGAAAGTGTGAAACAAATGCATCCATTTGGGACTTTGCTACTATTTTATACTGCAAACACTCTTTACTCTTGCTCGTGTTTAGTTTTCGTGCATGTTCTTTATGTTTTGGCATTGCAATATTGATCCTTTGAATTCAATACGTGGAAGTGATTCTGGTGTAACACTCCATGGTATATTAACCTGATGTGTTGTGTTTATCACCTTCAGTTGGTCCAAGCAAACAAGTGGACAGCTCATCCTTCGCAGGATCCCAGCAGCACTTGGCTCCTCACCTGGCTCTGCTTCATTCAGTCCACTGAGAGCCACGGTAAGAAGGGCGCACATTTTCCAGAAGCTAAACATCACACATTTTACACAATTACTATAAACACATTGTCCTTGAGAAAAGTAAAGGCAAGACATGTTTTTAAAAGTTTGCACATTACAGCCATGGCTGTTTCTTGCAAGCTTCCTTTCTTTAGCTCATATTGCAGTAAAATGCTCTCGTGTGTTTCACTTTATGCAGCGTTTGTTGAACAATGTATTATTGCATCGTCCTCCTTTTAATTCAGTATGTGATGAGAGAGTGATGATTG